CATATTGATGCGGCATTAGGTGGCAAAAGTTGTGGCTGCGTTGTAGCAACAAGTTCGGCGGATATAACAACTATGGAATGCTTTAACAAGACGATAAACTGTATCGCGCATACGCACTGTGTGCCGCCTTGGGGCAGGCTGCACATTGACATTCAGAAGGCGTTCGCCGCAGATACGTATCTGTATCTTTTTGGCGGGGATGAAAAAGTAGATAAAGACCAAGGGAGTGACGACTGCGGCGGGGGTTTTTATGCCAGCCATAAACTTGCCGCCTGCATTTCGGTTTCGTTTTGTTTGGCCATTAGCTTTGTTTTGTTTTATTAACCATTGAATCCTTGCCACTTTGACTACCGCTATTGCTCTGTTTGCTCGCCATTGTTCTTGCACTAAATCAAAGTGTCGTTTGTTTGCGGCATGCAAAGGCCGCGCGGCAAATCAAACACGATCCCCACGGAATGGGAAAGTTTATCGGCACTCGGATTCAGATTCGGGACTGGAATCGGATTTTTATGTCCTCATTTTGGCTTTCGCATAACAATTAGCCAGCCAGCTACAATTCTTCTGCCTCGGCAGAGAAAGCCTTTTTCTGCTCGCTTAAAGTGCGGAAATTGGAAAAGGAAAATAATCAGAGAACAAGAAAGGAAGCTAGCTTCGGCAAGCCGAAGCTTATATACCCTTGCAGTCATTAAATCTGTGTAACAAAATACGTAAAGGCTAACAACATCGAATCTATGACGATTTTTCTATAATTTTTCCATATTGTTTATATGACAGCTATATAGTCTATATAGTTGTCCGATTTTGATGAAATTAAATTTGTAACTCAAGACTCATTAGAAAACTGTATATTCCAAAAATCATGATTGTCTGATGAAAAACAACGAGGGTATAGTTTTATTTCCCTTATTTCTATATAGATTTTTCGATCTTTCCTATGGCAGCTATATGATATAGTACTCCGATTTTTATAAAATTTTTTTCTCAATTTAAGAATATTTAAAAAACTTGATGTTCCAAAAATCATGCTCGTGGGATTAAAAACATCGACATTATAATTTTTTTCCATTATTTATATATATATTTTTTGATCTCTCCTATGGCAGCTATATGATAGAGTTATCCGATTTTGATAAAATTTAATCCGAAATTCAATAGTAGTTAGAAAACGCCATCTGGAAGAAATGAAGTCGATCTGATCAAAAACAACGGTATAAGAATTTTATATTTCAATCTCTCGTATTGGAGCTATCCGATATAGTCGGCCGATCCGGCTCGTTCCGACTTATATACTGCGTGCAATAACTACACACCTTTTGGGAAAGTTTCAGCAAGATAGCTTTAAAATTGAGAGACTAGTTTACATAGAAACCGACAGGAGGACAGACGGACAGACGGACAGACGGACAGACAGACAGACAGACAGACGGACAGACGGACAGACGGACAGACGGACAGACGTACAGACGGATTTGGATTCTGATCGTGATGCTGATCAAGAATATATATACTTTATGGGGTCTAAGGTGTCTCCTTCACTGCGTTGCAAACTTCTGACTGAAATTATAATACCCTTTTGCTCTGCAAGGGTATAAAAACAAGAGATAAACAAGAGTGAAATGAAAAAGATGAGCTTCATTTCCGTTGAAACGAATTAAGATTCCTCTGCTGTATTGCACACAATAATTTATGTATAGTATAGAGCTCTAAAGCTAAGTTAAATGCAAAGTTAAATTAGAACACATTTTCAAAATTTTAAAGGGTTATTTCTTCAGTTCACAATTTTATCAAGTATTTTTTTAATAGTTTTCTCACATTGTTACACTATTTTATTATCTTGCGAATCACTATATTTTCTGAAGCCAACCAACCCGAACGAATTGAATATATAGACAATTGAAGCCAAATCCATCCAACTTGAACTCGAGGGGATTTCCCCACAGACAAGTCCTGTTAGACAGTTGGAGTACCTTATCGCAGGATATATCCAGCGAGGAATACAAATATCAAATAAACGACAGCGCAGTGAACCGCGAATGCTGCAAAATGTGCAAAAGTACACAAAGAAAATTGCAATAACAATTTGGCGCAGACGAAAGCTCGAATAAAAAAACAACGCAAAATAAAACAGAAATATTTAACGAAAAACAGTCGAATTTCGGTTGAACTTGTTTTTTATATTTTGTTTTTGTCGCTCCTGGATGCACGGCATTTGCATAGAAAAATTCAAATTAAGCGAAAATGTGCAAAATGCTGTGAATGGATATCAGTCTGTCCCTCTCCCTCAACTGCCCCCGCTCCATAAGTCTGTCCCATTCGCACCCGTTCCCCAATTACTTGGGCAGGCGAATGCAACAAATGAATGGTCAAATAAAAGCAGGACAAAGAAATGGCCAGCTGAAAATGAGCAGCCAAAGCCAAGCAGTCGACAGGGATAACGAGTGGGGGAGATGGGCCGAGATAAAATGGGCAGCAGTCGAGTGGTTAAAGTGTTCGTCTAATGACAAAGCAAATTGTGTGCATTTGCCGGCACAACAGCACCGAAAAGTGAAAACGAAAACAATCCAGCAACTTGGAGCGGAATTGGAAAAGTTTTAAAGTTGTCTGCAGTCTTCCTGCTGCAATTTCGATTGAATTAATCATCGGTAGGCCCTCGTGCAACATCTTCTTTTTATTTCTTTCCATCGTTTCCAGCCACCCTGAACACTTTAAAATAACAATCAACATCGCTTCAGTTGCAACACGGCTAATTGTTGTTGCCGTTTGAGCTGCTTAATTAAGACGTCGACGACAGGAGCTCCAATTTACCCATTACTGTCTGAAGACACTGACAAAAAAGACTCTTAAGTGATTAATCCAAAATACGTATATCCAATAAGCAATTATTTAGTACTATGTAAGCTTGGCATTTTCCATAGTAAAAAAACAATGTAAAACTCTGAAAGGATTGTTAAAAAAAAAAAAAAAAGTTAGACAAACGATTATCACTTATATCGTATTTTTTTTAGTGCACTGTTTTTAATTTCCCCTCTCTCTGTCTATCCGCTTAACTTTCCAACCTTCCTTTTGTTTTTATTTGCATAGGCCAGGTCCGCAAACCCATCCGCATCCTCATGGAGTGTCCAATTCAAGGCATTTCAACGTCAGCGGATATGTCTTCGTGTTCTCCATACCCTCAGCTCGAATGAAGAATCAAAAATGCCACTTCAGCTCTTGTAAGCGAGGCATTGAGTCTTCTTCCTTTTGACACTTTCTGACTTCGCCCATCGATGCAATTTGTTTCCGAGTTTATCCCTTTACAAGGTCCGTACTCTGTTCAATCGCATTATTGCCACAGTCTGCTATAATAAGCGGATATTTACATTTAGGCCACAGCTCAGTTAAATAAGATGTAGTACATCTACAATGAAAAAAAAAAGTTTAATGTAATTCCAAAGAATTTCCCAAATTAAAATATTTAAAAAATTGTTAAAAGGTTTTGTATGGCAAAGAATTGCTTGTTTTTGGTTTCCTTTGTAATAATAGTTTTCAATTATTTAAAAAAAAATCCAATGTAAACTGACTAAAACTTTTATTGATTCAAAATCGGGCCTTTAATTTCAGTAATGTTTCTAACTTCCTCGAGAGCTACTTTGGAATGTGTTAGGGATGGAGAATTCCTCCGGTTTCACACATTTTTTTCGAGTAATGCCAGTCTTCCAGGCTCTCCTTTACATGCCATCACAATTGCCATTGTCCTTCTTGGCCGCCTGTCATCTCGTTTTTTTCACATTTCTCTGCCCGTTTTTGCTCTTCTTCGATTCCGTTTGCATTATGTCCTGGGCACTGCGCTCCTGTTTCAGCGGCCTGCATTGTTCGAATGTAAATTCCGCTGCCTTGAGTCCGCCCAGAGTTTACGGTTCGAAGAACTAAATGTCAACAGTTTTCATAAATCTGCCACTGGTGGTGGACATCATCAGCTCGGCAGTCCGCCCTCAAAGTTATCTTAAGTGCTCCGAGTGGAAACTGTCAGCCGTTCAGTTCTCGGGTTGGCTTGTTTGTCCGCTGTTTGTTTGCTGCTTGCTGACTCTTGGTCAATTGTTTGTGACAAGCTCTTTAAGATAAATCTCTTTTCCGAAGGGCTTTTCGAATTAAATTTTCACATTTCCCGAAGCAATTTAAAATTTCTCATTAGACGCTCATCAAAGTGCTTTATACATGAATAATTATTTTTGTTTACTTGTTTAATATTCTTTACTAGCAAGTTCCTGTCTTGTTAATTATAATTTGCCTTAGGAAGCGTACTTACAGGTCAATAAATAATGAAATTAATAAAACTCTCACTGTTTCAAACCCTTTGGCAGAGTGGAATTAGTTGTGCAACAATGCACAAAGACATTAAGGCTTATCTCTAATTAAACAAAATACATAAATCTCTTTGAACACCTGAATTCTGATTTTTTTTAGACTTAATCAAAGTTTCTGGGAATTTTAAGTTAGTTTCCATTAATGATTAAGTGGTTAAGAATTCTCGAAAATCAATGATGACTTGTTTTGCATTCTATGGAATTTCTTGGCAATTACTTTCCATTAGCAGAGCATTGTAATGCTAAGCACAACTTTCAACTTTCGCTACTTTTGGCCAAGCAGCCGAAAACACAAATTGGCCAAGGCTCGACCAAGGTGGCAACACAATAATATTTTATGGCCCGGCTTTCAGAGTGGCCATTGACAGGGTCCGAAACTAAACCATTGTGTCTCGGCAAAAGCCAAAGTTCCGTTGCTCGGAATCGATTCAGGGAAACCAGTTCTCGTGGACAGTGAACCGTCTTCTCGACAAGATTCCATGACCATAACATGTTTGATTCTAATCGGGTACGAGTTCAGTGGGGTTCACTGTGTTTTCACATTCCTAGAACATTGCCGAACATGAATCGTCAATGCAAATTAGTTGCGGACTGACCCAAATCGGACGGCCATAAAATTGGTTGAGTGGTCCAAAATCGGTTTAGTCGTAGCCGGGGCCAACGCCTAAAATATGTATTAGCCAGAATGAAGCTGCCAGTGCTGCTGTTGCTAATCCAGTCTTGGGCCCTTGTGGCCGGAGGTAAGCCCCACGTGAACAGTGATGAAGTGAAAGTACAGTGAATGCTTTGATGGCCTCTTCTCCCCACAGCCATTCCTGCCAGACACTGGCGTCGTGCTCCCAGCCATGGAGTCTTCAATGTGGATGTCTATGCCTACAATAAACCACGGATGAATTTGGCCTTCCGCCAGGGGATCAGCAGTCGCTCGGTGCAGGATCCTCCTCCGATGGACCACCTGCTGCACCAGATCTCCCAGCACAGCCGTCGATCCACCGACCAGAGGTCCCACTACAGAAACCTCGACCAGGAGGCGGATGTTGAGGTACTGCCGATGGCAGGACAAATACAGGCCAGCGAGCTGAACAAAACAATCGAGGAACCGGCCATAAACATGCAATTAATGCAGCTGCAAATGAACTCGGTTCAGCACGCACCGGAGAATTTATACTCGAACGAGTTCCATGTGCAGAAGGTAGGAACCAAGAAGATTGTGCAATTGAATACCCTGGCCAGCGAGGCTGAACGTAAACCAGTCGCTGAAGAAGTTATGGCCCAGAGGCAGCAAAAGCCGGAGCAGCCGGAGCAGCAGGAGCCGATGAAGGTAAAGCTGACACTGCCAGAGCTTCACGAGAACAATGCAGCTGAAACAGAAGCCGTCGTGACGGGGCAGAATAAAAACCGAAAGGACGAAGATGTCCCGGCGTCAAACGCCACGTTGACAGCAGCTGCTGCTGCGGGGGAATCTCCTGCAGGTGTGAAGAAAACTATGGCCCCGAGTGGGACAATTATCGATATGGCATCGACAGGAATGCAGCAGCTTGTCAGCCAGCCGACAGCGGAGAATGCCGGTGACACGAGCACAAAGGCCCAGTCCGGCAGGAGAAAAAACAAGGACGAAACGAGACAACGGCCACCTCGTCCCAAGACCAAGAGGAAGCAAACGCCAACAGGAGCCAAAGCGTCTAATGAAACTGATACAAAGATGACAGCGAGCCAAGTTGTCACTACCCCGATTTCTGGTGCTGCTCCTGCTGCTCCTCCTGCTGCTGCTGCTGCTCCTGAAAGTAACCCCATCCGGCGACCAAGTCCTGGTCCATTGAGAGTCAAGCAGCCGGAAATCAGCACGCATCGTCCTTTGACAACGAACGGCAAGAACAAGAACAAGAGCAAGGGTAAGGGCAAGGATAAACGGCGCCAGGGAACCCAGAGACGTCCAGCGAACGCGGCTGCCATGGAGGAGGAAATTGAAACTACGACAAATTGGTGGCAGATTCTCCCGTATGCGGAAATTAGAAAATTTTTGAATACGATTTACGATACCATCGCCGACGATGTTGACGACGAACGTGCCACGGATGATGTGTGAATCCAGGGGGTTTTTTTTTTGGGGTCCTGGGTTCACTGTGTTTATAGAGGGTCCGGTCGAACTGCGAATTGAATTTCCGCTGGAAGTTAACTTTGTGTCCTGATCGAATAGCTAGTAAGTGGGGCATGTGATTCGATTTTATTGGGTTGCTGGTTTATGGTCAAAATATTAGTTGCAATAAAATGGAAAATGGAAACTGATAAAACTGAAATTGCTAGGCGACTTTTAAATTCCCCAACTTTTGCGCTTTCACTTTCATTTCAAACCTCTGCCCCTATTAATCATCATAATTATCATTTCACAGTCATCAACGTCTCCATTTAATGCGGCAGGGTGCGTCAACAAAGATGACTTAATTAAAAGTCCCCCTGATCAGAAACAATAACTCGGCTGGGGCACTTAAAAAACCATCTATTCATATTTGAATAAACAAAATATAAAATAGAGAACGCGAGAGCCCCGTTCGGCACACTTCTAGTCAAATGACTTGCAGACAGCTTAATAGGCATTAAACCCGACCCCAGACTCTCGGCGTCGCGGGTTAAAGTTGAAAGTGGTCGGACGGCTTCCATTCGCGGCACAAAACAGCAAAGCAGTTCACGGCAGGTAAAGTGTGAATCGAGCCGACGTTAATGAGCTGAGAATTATTTTTTTATGGCTGCGGAATAAATATCACAGACTGATAGCCCCCGAAAAGTGAGTCAGCCCAAATAAATCTTTGCCGCTGATTGATTACGCTTAATGAGAGATGATAATATTAATGATTAAAGTGTGTATATTAATTTTGCTTATTTATTGAACGACCAGCAAGACAAATTTCGGTTTACTCAAGTGATTAACAGTGGCTCGTCGCCGAAATTTACTCTTTCTTCTCAACTTTCGTCTGAACTTTGGCTCAATCTCGGCTAGAATAAAGAGCTGCGTGCCAGTGTTTTGATGGCTCAATTCAAAGATTTCTTGGCCGGTCGTCGATGGTTTTTGGGTGGTGGCACTTTCAACTGCCTGGTTAAGTGGCACACTGAATCCGTGACCCTCGTATAGATGCAGTTGCCAGTCGCAGAGATTCGGGGTCAAGCTGCACTTGGCAGAAGAGTTATCCGATATGAGCTTCGCCTGGGCTAAATTCAGCTGCTTGAGTTGCTGCAGCGCCTCATCTTGGATTTGTGGGGCAGCTCGGCACCGCCTGTCCAGACCGCAAGACACCAACAAAACAAGCCACGTGAATACTCGAAAGGCTTGTGCGGAGCTCATTTCAATTTCACCTACCACCTCCACGGGGAGCTGAACTTGTACTGCTCGATTCGAAAAGATGGCCAGGTGGAGTGGGGCAACTGAAACCAGTTTGCCCGAATAGTTTCACTTGGAGTGCTGTCATCTTTGTCATGTCAAAAGAATTGCGAATGAACTTCCAATGCTTTGAAATTAATGGAGTTTTTTCAAACCATACATAGGAGTTAAGCTTAAAGAACCTTTTCATTACATTAGAAAACCCCCCACTCGTTTTTATAATCCAAAATAATAAACCGTTTTTTAAAATTGGTATTATTAAACAAATTTACAATATCTTAAATAATTTGTTATAATATTTTTAAATTTGCTTATAGCAGGAAAGAGGTTTGGGCACAGTTTCTTCAATACGCGGCTTTATTGCTCCGATTTAGAACCTTTTTTCAACCTTTACTTTCTTTCCTTTGGAGCCTGAGGTGATCTTCCTTTTTCTTGTTTCGACCCAGATGCCTTTTTCTCAACCTTTTCTTTTTTTTGCTTCGGAGCTTGAGTTGGTCTTCCGGGTACTTGTTTCGGTTTAGATCCTTGTTTTTGGACCTTTACTTTGTTTTGCTTCGGAGCTTGAGGAGATCTTCCGTCTTTTTGTTTCGAATTAGAACCTTTTTTTTCAACCTTTACTTTTTGCTTCGAGGCTTGAGGTGATTTTCGGTTATCTTGTTTTGACTTTGAACCTTTTTTTTCAACCTTTACTTGTTTTTGTTTCGGAGATTGAGGAGATTTTCGATCTTCTTGTTTTGATTTGGAATCTTTTTTTTCAGTCTTTTCTTTTTTTTTGCTTCGGAGCTTGGGGTCTTTTGCCAGCTACTTGTTTCGACTTAGATCCTTGTTTTTGTTTCGGAGCTTGAGGGGATCTTCCATTTACTTGTTTTGGCTTAGAACCTTTTTTTTCAACTTTAACGTTTTTTTGCTTCGGAGCTTGGGGTGATTTTCCGACTTCTTGTTTCGACTTAGATCCTTGTTTGTTCTTCGGACCTTGAGGTGATCTTCCGTGTACTTGTTTCGGCTTAGAGCCTTTTTGTTCATTCTTTACGTTCTTTTGCTTCAGAGCTTGAGGTGATTTTCCGTCAACTGGGGAAATTAGAAGCAAAGGTTTTCCCTTCTCGTCTGACAATTTCACAAACTGAGCACCTTCTGGCTTCGAACACAAGCGGGGATAGTAGAAACAAAGCGATGTTGCCGAATGCGGCACGGTTTCAACCGACAGTTTCTGCTGCGCCTGGGACCCTTTCCCGAACTTGTTGTTTACGAGGTGGACTGATTTCCTTCCGTTTTGGTCTTCAGGTTCTACCGTAGAGTCATTTTCTGTTGTTGCTTCCACTGTTGTTGCTTCTGTTGTTGCATCCGTAGTGCTTTCTGTTGTTGCTTCCGTTGTTGTTGTTTCGGTAGTTGCATCCGTTGTTGTCGTTTCGGTAGTTGCATCCGTTGTTGTCGTTTCGGTAGTTGCCTCCGTAGTTGTAGTTTCGGTTGTTGCTTCCGTTGTTGTTGTTTCGGTAGTTGCTTCCGTTGTTGTTGTTTCGGTAGTTGCCTCCGTTGTTGTTGTTTCGGTTGTTGCATCCGTAGTTGTTGTTTCTGTTGTTGCTTCCGTTGTTGTTGTTTCGGTAGTTGCTTCCGTTGTTGTTGTTTCGGTAGTTGCCTCCGTTGTTGTTGTTTCGGTTGTTGCATCCGTAGTGGTTTCTGTAGTTGCCTCCGTTGTTGTTGATTCAGTAGTTGCCTCCGTTGTTGTTGTTTCGGTTGTTGCATCCGTAGTGGTTTCTGTTGTTGCCTCCGTTGTTGTTGTTGTTTCAGTAGTTGCCTCGGTTGTTGTTGATTCGGTAGTTGCCTCCGTTGTTGTTGTTTCTGTAGTTGCCTCGGTTGTTGTTGTTTCGGTAGTTGCTTCCGTTGTTGTTGTTTCTGTAGTTGTTTCTGTTGTTGCCTCCGTTGTAGTCTGTGTGGTCTCCGTTGTGACCTCTGTAGTTGTTGTCTCCGTAGTGTCCGTGGTCACCTCCGTTGTCTCCGTTGTTGCTTCAGTTGGTTTCGTTGGCTTGGTAGGCTTCGTAGGTTTTGTGGGTTTCGTTGGTTTTGTCGGCTTCGTTGGCTTTGTAGGCTTCGTTGGTTTTGTTGGTTTCGTTGGCTTCGTTGGCTTCGTTGGCTTTGTTGGCTTCGTTGGCTTCGTCGGCTTCGTTGGCTTTGTCGGCTTTGTTGGTCTTGTTGGTCTTGTTGGCCTTGTCGGCCGTGTCGGCCTAGTTGGCTTCGTTGGCCTAGTCGGTCTTGTTGGCCGTGTTGGTTTAGTTGGTGATTGCGTTGTAGGCTCCGTAGTGGGATTGGTAGGCGGTTGTCTAGTTGGCCACGGTGTTACATAAGGCGGGTATGGAAAGTAAGGTGGTGGAGGATAAGGCAGCGGAGGAGGATCATAGGGCGACCAATTATCCTCATGATTGGGCTTTACTTTCTTTTTGTTGGTATAACCAGGACCCTTGAGACCGGTAACTCGGCTTATAAGTCCTCCAACATCCCACACGGGTATTCGTACTTGTACTTGTCCTCCGCCAAACGAACTAACCCATTTAGGGCCAGCGGCTACCAGCAAAACCCAAGTAATCGCAATTCTAACTAGCTTCATTCTTCCAATGAAAGAACAGACTGGTGCGGAACGTTCATTAACGCCTTTATATATTCGATGCTGTTCCATAAAAGTGGATTATTAATTACTGATCGAAATAAAAGCCAAGATCAACATAACAAGCACCTTGAAGAAAATCGCTTTTTCGTTAAATATCTTACACCCAGAATTTTTTGATAAAACGTTAATGACATTTTCATGCATTTTATCATTTTCGTGGTGCTACCCGCGATGGGGATTGATATCTCTCCAAAAGTGACAATTTATTGAATACAAGACATTCGTGATAAAATCTGTCGGTTAATCACCCTGCAAGTGATTTTGTTTTCTATCATGGATTATCATCAGCTTTTATTTTGAATAGCTATTTAAAACCAGATTTGATCAAGAATAGGTTTCTTATGCTTCGGGGCAATGATACTAGCGCAACTCCAAGCAAACCAAATAGCAGTCATAAAAAAACAATTTACTTTTTATCAAATGGACTGTTTTTGTAAAACTTTATTGAAATACAGTCATAATACACAGCGAATGAGTTAGTTGCTGTTTATTAAAAACTAAATCTAGTGTTTTTTATCGTAGATTCTTAACCAAACCCATTAGAATATAAAGAATATTATTAATATCTATTATTGTACAGTGTTTTCCGTATTTATTGTAGTAAACATAAATAATTTAATGTCCTTGATTAATTCTTTTTTTCACTACCCGGTAAATATATTTACTTCTAGAGGGTTTCGTTTGTTGGGGTAGCCGCAAGCTTAATGGTTTTGGTTTAGACTTTAACGGACGAACATTAGTTGTCTGTAGCGGTTGAGGCATTACTACGCCTCCAGGTGATATTAACAGCATGGGCTTGCCAAATCCATCGGTGAGTCGTACATACTGAGCTTCTTCGGGATGAGCACATAAGCGTGGATAGTTATGGCATAAATTTGTCATTGACTGGGGCGCTGATTGCACCGTTAATTGCAGCTCAGGATGAAGGATACCAGAAGATGAAGGATGTTCCTCTAAACTAAGAACAGTTGGAGTTGTAAGGTGACTACTCTGGAGTTGGTTATGAAACGAATAAAGCGGATTGGCTGTTGTAAATTGCGGGTTCAATTTTGTGGCGCGGAGGCGATAAGATGAAACTGCCGATCCTGTAGTTGATGATCCTCCCGATGTGGAAGAACCTGTTGTGAAGGATCCTGTTGTGGAAGATCCTCCCGTTGTAGAAGATCCTCCTGTTGTGGAAGATCCTCCCGTTGTAGAAGAAGCTCCCGTTGGAGCAGCAGTTCCGGTTGTTGAATTGGTTAAAGAAGCTGTGGAAGTGCTGCTTGCTGCCTCAGTCGTTAAAGGAATACTGGTTGTTGAAGAACTGGTCGTGGTGGTTGTTGTCGGCCGCCTGGTTGTAGTGGTTCTTCTGGGCCTTCGAGTTGGCCTTGGTCTCGGTCGGTTCGGAATCTGTGGCCTAAGAGGACGAAGAGGTCGTAGAGGGCGCGGAGGCCGAGGTCGGGGTCCTGGTACTGGTACAGGCACAGGATCAACAGGTATAATATCGCTTCCAGAGTATAATCCCTGCTTCTTTTTGTTGTATTCCTGCAATAGTACATTGTAATAGGCATCCCAAGAAGCAGCTCCATTCTGATTGTCCTGCGCTGGCTGTGGTGATTGTGTTGTGCTAGCTGATCCAAAGGCATTTGATAAGCGCGAGTAAAGATCACCCACGTCCCAGAGTGGCCCGTTCAATCTGAGAGATCCCTCTGGACTGTAACACCATACTTGGGTTGTGATCGATAAAAGAAAAAACGTGTGCAACGAAAACATCGCCCCGTATCGAATTTGTCAACTTAGTGCCTAGACGTATACTAAGCCTTAACCCAAGCCAAAAATCGCTTTTATAGACTGATCCGAAGATAATAACTCCACTGATGAAGCCCTTAAGCCAAAGACGACCCAAAAGCTTTGTAGTTAATACAATTGTTAAACTAACTTTGTGTTTTTTTGTCACTGAACAAAACAACAATGTATGGCGTTCTTTCAAAGACTTTGTGCTGAGCCAAGCTACTTTCTTTGTCAAGAAATAGTTTTTTTTTTTTAATGAATAAGCCCGAGTTATTTAACGCTTGGGGCTGATATTTATTATTTTTATTGTGTTCTAAAAAAAAAAAGTTAATTGCTAATTGTTGTTATTCTGTTCGCTACACCACCATTTACCCATTTCAAATTTTTTAATTTTGGACTTACACATAATTTAAAAACACTCTGAAAACTAAAATTTTTTCAAATTCTTTTATGTAGCTTACAAAATTGGCAAAACAAAATAATATATTTGATTACCATACAGAGCCTACTGTAATGATTTGTGATGTTTTCCAATCATTCTCCTCATAGCTCGGCATAACGAAGGCTGCTCTTGAGGATGAGCAGATCGTCCTTCGACTGGAGAAATCAACAACAAGGGTTTTCCTTTTCCATCAGCAAGTCGTACAAATTGGGCTTCCTCCGGTTTTTGGCACAACCTTGGATAAAAGAAGCACAAAGAAGTTACAGATTGAGGCATCGACGTTATTGCCAGCTGTTGCTCCGGCCTATAAACAGTTCCAGATGCTGTAATGTCAGACATTCCAGATTCACTTTTTTCAAAGCTCACTGACTTAAATAATTGACACTTTGGTAATTGGGGAAAAAGTTCGCAATCTGTATCTTCAGAAGTGGTAGCTGTGGAAGTTGTTGAGGATTCTGTGGAAGTGGAAATTGCAGTTGATGTTTCCTCGCTTTTAGAAGTCGTGGAATCCGCCGCTGTAGATGTAGGAATCGCTGTTGAAGTAGTTTGGCCCTCAGTTATAGTTGTTGTTGTGGTGGAGTCCGTTGCAGGGCTTGCAGTTGTTGTAGTCGTGGATTCCGTTATGGAGCTTGTTTGACACGTTGGTAGTTCGGGAAAAAGTTCGCAATCCGAATCCTCAGAAGTGGTACCTGTGGAAGCTGAAGAGGATTCGGTGGATGTGGGTATTGCAGTTGACGTTGTCCGGCTTGTAGAAGTCGTGGAATCTGCCGCGGTGGATGTAGGAATTGCTGTCGAAGTAGTTGGGCTTTCAGTTGCTGAGCTGGTTGTTGTCGTAGAGTCGGTTGTAGAGCTTGTAGTGGAAGATGTCGTTGAATCAGTTGTTGAGGATGTGGGAATCGCAGTTGAAGTTGTTGGGGTTTCAGTTGTTGAGCCTGTAGTTGTACTTGTTGCGGTGGTGGAATCAGTTGCAGGGCTTTCAGTTGTTGTAGTCGTTGTGCTTGTAGTGGAAGATGTCGTTGAATCAGTTGTTGAGGATGTGGGAATCGCAGTTGAAGTTGTTGGGGTTTCAGTTGTTGAGCTTGTAGTTGTACTTGTTGCGGTGGTGGAAGCAGTTGCAGGGTTTTCAGTTGTTGTAGTCGTTGTGCTTGTAGTGGAAGATGTCGTTGAATCAGTTGTTGAAGATGTGGGAATCGCAGTTGAAGTTGTTGGGGTTTCAGTTGTTGAGCTTGTGATTGTAGATGTAGTTATTGCGGTGGTGGACTCAGTTGCAGGGTTTTCAGTTGTTGTAGTCGTTGTGCTTGTAGTGGAAGATGTCGTTGAATCAGTTGTTGAAGATGTGGGAATCGCAGTTGAAGTTGTTGGGGTTTCAGTTGTTGAGCTTGTAGTTGTACTTGTTGCGGTGGTGGAAGCAGTTGCAGGGCTTTCAGTTGTTGTAGTCGTTGTGCTTGTAGTGGAAGATGTCGTTGAATCAGTTGTTGAAGATGTGGGAATCGCAGTTGAAGTTGTTGGGGTTTCAGTTGTTGAGCTTGTAGTTGTACTTGTTGCGGTGGTGGAATCAGTTGCAGGGTTTTCAGTTGTTGTAGTCGTTGTGCTTGTAGTGGAAGATGTCGTTGAATCAGTGGTTGAAGATGTGGGAATCGCAGTTGAAGTTGTTGGCGTTTCAGCTGTTGAGCTTGTGATTGTAGATGTAGTTATTGCGGTGGTGGACTCAGTTGCAGGGTTTTCAGTTGTTGTAGTCGTTGTGCTTGTAGTGGAAGATGTCGTTGAATCAGTGGTTGAAGATGTGGGAATCGCAGTTGAAGTTGTTGGGGTTTCAGTTGTTGAGCTTGTAGTTGTACTTGTTGCGGTGGTGGAAGCAGTTGCAGGGCTTTCAGTTGTTGTAGTCGTTGTGCTTGTAGTGGAAGATGTCGTTGAATCAGTTGTTGAAGATGTGGGAATCGCAGTTGAAGTTGTTGGGGTTTCAGTTGTTGAGCTTGTAGTTGTACTTGTTGCGGTGGTGGAAGCAGTTGCAGGGCTTTCAGTTGTTGTAGTCGTTGTGCTTGTAGTGGAAGATGTCGTTGAATCAGTGGTTGAAGATGTGGGAATCGCAGTCGAAGTTGTTGGGGTTTCAGTTGTTGAGCTTGTAGTTGTAGTTGTAGTTGTTGCGGTGGTGGAAGCAGTTGCAGTTGTTGTAGTCGTTGTGCTTGTGGTGGAAGATGTCGTTGAATCAGTTGTTGAAGATGTGGGAATCGAAGTTGAAGTTGTTGGGGTTTCAGTTGTTGAGCTTGTAGTTGTACTTGTTGCGGTGGTGGAATCAGTTGCAGGGTTTTCAGTTGTTGTAGTCGTTGTGCTTGTAGTGGAAGATGTCGTTGAATCAGTTGTTGAAGATGTGGGAATCGCAGTTGAAGTTGTTGGGGTTTCAGTTGTTGAGCTTGTAGTTGTACTTGTTGCGGTGGTGGAAGCAGTTGCAGGGTTTTCAGTTGTTGTAGTCGTTGTGCTTGTAGTGGAAGATGTCGTTGAATCAGTTGTTGAAGATGTGGGAATCGCAGTTGAAGTTGTTGGGGTTTCAGTTGTTGAGCTCGTAGTTGTAGTTGTTGCGGTGGTGGAAGCAGTTGCAGGGCTTTCAGTTGTTTTAGACGTTGTGCTTGTAGTGGAAGATGTCGTTGAATCAGTGGTTGAAGATGTGGGAATCGCAGTCGAAGTTGTTGGGCTTTCAGTTGTTGAGCTTGTAGTTGTACTTGTTGCGGTGGTGGAAGCAGTTGCAGGGTTTTCAGTTGTTGTAGTCGTTGTGCTTGTAGTGGAAGATGTCGTTGAATCAGTTGTTGAAGATGTGGGAATCGCAGTTGAAGTTGTTGGGGTTTCAGTTGTTGAGCTTGTAGTTGTACTTGTTGCGGTGGTGGAAGCAGTTGCAGGGCTTTCAGTTGTTGTAGTCGTTGTGCTTGTAGTGGAAGATGTCGTTGAATCAGTTGTTGAGGATGTGGGAATCGCAGTCGAAGTTGTTGGGGTTTCAGTTGTTGAGCTTGTAGTTGTAGTTGTAGTTGTTGCGGTGGTGGAATCAGTTGCAGGGCTTGCAGTTGTTGTAGTTGTTGTGGTTGTAGTGATTGAATCAGTTATTGAATCGGTTATTGAACTTTCAGTAGATGTGGTAGAGGATGCAGTTGTTGGATCTGGCGTCGTCGATGTGGAAGTTGTTGTCGGATCGGTTATTGAAGACGCTGTAGATGTTATTAGATCCTGAGTTGTTGTTGTAGTAGTTGTAGTCGTAGTTGTTGCTGGGGTTGATGGCTGTGTTTGTGGGGGCGCAGTTGGAGCTTGAAAGGCATTAAGGTCATACGGGCCGTAGAGACTGTAATATCCGAGTCCATAAGGGTCATAAGCAGCTGAGTTTTGGTATGCGTTCGCATAATAATTATTATAATAGTCGTTCAAATAATCGCTGTATTCTGTATTTTGCTGATTGGTGTTCTGCTGGTTGTTATCCTGCTGATTGTTATTCGATAAATTTTGGTTGTTATTACTTCCTGAGTTGATTCCGATTCCAGTGAGCCGCGTGAACAATGTGGAAGCATCCCATACAGGTATCCTTATTTTGATAGATTGCCCCCAAGCCTGACTGGCTAGTAGGAGCAACAAGCTAACCGTTTTTAGAATCATCCCGAGCTGAGATTAACCGGCACTCGAGTAAGCCTAGAACTGAAGTGGTAGCAGGTATACACCTGGTGTTTTATACGGATCAACAAAGTCGTTAAATTGAAATGACACAATATACGAACAAAAGATTGCCTAGACCTAACTGCATAAATTGTAACCTTTATAGTTGTCTTCAAATTTAGTGCCTAAAAGAAGGAACAATTCTTAACTTTGCCATTTAGTCTTCACCCCTTATTCGTTCTGAAATCAATAAACTGATGAAAGAAAACCCATTAGTTCTTTGTTTAGATTTTATTGAATAAATTAAATGTCGGGCATGTAAGATACACCAAAGTTGTTTTGAGCCACCGGTCTTCTACTTTTTAGCGTCGTACCCAAAGTAAGGAGCAGGCTGCACCCTGCGGTATATATTATTATAAGGAATGTATACCGGCAGGGAATGGGCTGAAGACGATGCCTCTGCTGCACCACGTACGTAAATGGGGTTCGAGTTGATGCGGTGCAGTTCGTAGGGGCTGATCAGTGAGCTCGGCACATAGTGGTACGGCAGAGGAGTGGTGCGGTACCGCCCCACGGCATTAACGGTGGTGTCGGTATTCGCAGGTGCCACAGCAGTGGAAGTTGTCGGAGCTTCCGTTGTCGTGGTTGTTGTAGTTGTCGGAGCTTCCGTTGTCGTCGTTGTTGTAGTTGTTGTTGTTGTCGTTGTGGTCGGATCTTCGGCAACTGCCGTCGACGTTGTGACGGGTCCCGTAGATGTGGGAACGGCAGTGGAGGTAGCCTCTGTAGTCGTGGTTGTAGTCGAAGAAGTTGTTGCATCAGTTGTTGTCGTGGTAGCTGCAGTGGTAGTAGTAGTTGCAGCAGTAGTTGTCGTCGTGGGAGCTGCAGTGGTTGTCTGCACTGCTGGATTTGGCCCCTGCCCGTTGTTCGCGTTGGCTGCTGCGTTGGCAGCTGCCAGACTAAACAAGTACTGATTGTAAGCGGCCTGGGCTTGATAGTACTGCTGCCATTGGCTGCTGTAATAGTTATTTAGGTAAGCTTCGTAGGCATCAAGATTGTTGTTGTTGTTGTTATTTCCACCGCCTCCTCCACCGCCACTGCCACCGCCGCCGCCACCTCCTCCACCGCCTCCACCGCCTCCTCCTCCTCCTCCTCCAGTCAAGGCAGATAAAATACTATCCACAGTGTAAACAGGAAAGCTTATGGACTGACTCCAGGCCTGTGCAGTCAGCAGAAGGACCAATCCTACGGTTTTGATCAGCATTTCGGAGAGAGATTCAACGGTGCTTCGGTTTGTTCAGAACTAAAGTGACAGCTCCACAGTACGAGGAGTTTTATACAGTTCGTGGGGTGTCATAAATTGGATTGGGTCTGAGACCCACAAAAGACTTGACTGGATCACGGGCCTTAAATCTATTTTAAACTGGGCTTGGTGAAGATCGGCATCGGTAATTTGAATTTTTATTGATTTGGCTAGTGAAATCACAAAAGTGAACAGAAAGTTTATTTTGCATATCTAAATAGACTGATGACCTGTCATAATACTTAAGGTTTACTCAACGGGCCTATATTTAAAGAAATCGCTAATTTACTACTCATTTTTTCTTATACATAATTTATCTTTATTGATCTCCAATGATTTGTAAAATTTAGTTAGCCGCCTCGGTAGTAGTATAAAGGAGGTCTATAGTAAACATATCTTACAGGCGTTCTATAGTAGATAACGTTGTTAGAGCTTTGTGGTCGAGACGCCATTGAACGCCTTGTTGTTCGCTGGAGAATTTTGTTTACCGGCTGCTCTACCTCATCCAAATCATACTTGATCCGAGACCCATTCTTAAAGTCTATGTAGTCGACATCTTCATCGTTATCTGGTCCGTTGTGTAAGGGTTTGTAAAAACGCCTTACAAGTTTGAGTGCAGGAGAGCCGAATAGCAACAGCGGGATGCGCGGCATGCAGAGGAAAAAGGGAAATAACGGTGCGAAGGACTTTGGACTCAATGCTGCGGTGAGTCTGCAGACTTTGGACCCAATAACGGTGAGTCTGCGGACTTCGGACCCGCGCAAAGAGGAGAGACCGTGAACTAACGGTACCAGTCTGGACTTTGTACCCGTTATAACGGTGAAGTTCTGGACTTTGTACCCGTTATAACGGTGAAGTTGGCGGACTTTGGACCAGCACAAAGAGGAGAGACCGTGAACTCACGGGACTTGTGCTGCCCTTTGGACCCGATCACGCCACTTGTCCTGCACTTTGGACCCGATCACGCCACCGAGGGAGGGAAATAACGGGACCCGGGTGGCATATAAAAGGAGGACGCGTGCAGGAAGCTGGACAGTCAAGTGAAGTCGTGCAGCGAGACCGTACCAACGCGAGTGAAACCCCAAGTAAAACACCAAGTGCCAAATAATCCGGAATCAAGATCGCCGAGTCAAGAAGCCCAACGACGGTCACGTCTACATAAGCTGAGACTGCCAAGCTGAGATCCCGAGGGTGCAAGGTAAGTTGTAGGGTGCGTCTACGAGTCTCGAAATCGACGAAGTTGGTGGAGTCTTGGCAGTGGATGTTGTGCGAAAGGTACCCAGCGTCGGTACCCCATGAAAGATTGAGGACCTGCTGAGGGCCAGGCCGACGAAGATCCAGCGGAGTTGTGCGAAAGGTACCCGGCGTCGGTTGCTCATGAGAGATTGAGAACCTGCTGAGGGCCAGGCCGACGAAGTCCCGATCGAACTCCGGGGTGGAGCGAAGAGTGGTGACTGCAGGCATCACTGCTTAGCCCCGCTAGGGAGGTTCTGCCTAACATCCTCCAAGGTTGTGAGAGGCTCGTAGCGTGCCTAGTACGCGACCGGTGCCCGAAAGACTCGGCAAGGCAGAGGACGCACGACAGGCGTGCCGCCGTAGAGTCGACGCGGGAGCCATTACCGGCGTCAACGAGGGAGATCGAGTCATCAGACAGCAGAACCACAAATCAAACATCGAGCTACAAATCTACGTACAATAAACCCAACAAGTATTCTTAAATCTAACCTAACTCTGTGTTATTCTTTGGTCTCGGGGTTACGCATCAATAAATTTGGTGGGACGAACACACAAACTCTTCTGAGCTAGCCGCACGTTCTCGTAGCGAGCGAAGACACAAAAGCAGTTCGTTACATCTGGCGCCCAAGCGTAATACTCAGACCAAAGTAACCAGAAAATAGATTTAGAATGGGGAAGTCCTGGTTGTACAACCTTAAAAAGGACGATTTCCCGGCGATCGCAAGCGCCCTAGGCATCGAGCTAGAGGGCCTTGTAGATGAAATGAGGCGGACACTGGCCGAATTCATCGACCACTCCGAACATGACCATGAAGCGCTGGCAATTCTGGCGGCCCTGGAAAGGGATTACGCCAAATACCCGTCGGTCGGCCTGAAAGTCACCGGAGCCGAGGGCCTGGTGCGCAGCCTGGACGTGAGCAGCATGCAGAACGCCGGCAGGAGCAGCAGCCGCGACCGACGGGAGAACAGCAGGGAGAGGAAGAGCGACACCCGCGAACAACGAGCGGAGAACGGCAAATCCGGACAGGATTATGCAAAAATCGCGAAACAAGTGAGGGAGTGGAGTTTCCGTTATGACGGGAATGAGAAGCCACTAGAATTCCTCGAACAAGTGGAGTGGTCGGCCATGACGTACGGGCTGGACATCAATCAAATTCCGAGGGCGATGCCGGAGCTCCTTCAGGGCAGAGCGTTAAAATGGTTCATCGCGAACAACAGGTTCTGGGAGACCTGGGGCGGATTCAGCCAGAGCTTCCAGGAGTTCTTCTTGCCCAGGGGTTTCATGAACAAACTCGCAGATCAGGTCAGGCAGAGGAAGCAGAACTACGGTGAAAGCTTCAAAGACTACATGGTAGACATGCAGACACTGATGCGACCCCTGGGTATGAACAAGGACGAGATCCTGGAGCGGGTTAAAGAGAATAGCACCCCAGCATTACGGCTGTTTATACGCCCGTACAGGTGCCAGAACCTAGACACCCTGATGGCATTAGCGGACGAGTTTGAGGAGCTTGACCAGCAGAGGGAGCGGTTCGAGCAGGAGAACATCCCGAAAGCCCGATACCATGTGCCGGCCATGAGAAGGGAACCAGCAGTAACGTGCAGGCGCTGTCAGGAGGAGCCAGAACAGCGTAACGCACGGCCCGGATATGTGAACAATCCATCCCAGGCATGTCGGAGATGCGGAAGCCAGGACCACTGGGCGAAGGAATGCCGCAACCGAAGAATAGCGTTCTGTTGGAGATGCGGGAAAATAGGCGTCACGAACGGCGAATGCTGCGCGCGAGCGGGAAACGCCAAGCGACCTCAGCCACCGAGGGGCGGCCAGGGATCGCAAGGTGCTGCCTCTCGAAATTAATGGGCGACCTGAAGGCGGAAGAGATGCAGCTGTCCGCCACAGTGCTCATAAACAAACAAAAAGTGAAGGCCACGGTGGACACTGGCGCCACGGCAAGCTTTATAAGCGAAGAGTTGGCGGACAGGCTGCAGGCCGCCGGGAAGGTCGTACCAACGAGAAGGCAGGTGCGCATGGCAGACGGAAGATGCGGGAGCATCCAATCACAGCTGGAGATAGTGGTTGGTCTCGGGACGAGAAATGTGGTGATGCAGTTACTGATCCTCCCAAGAGTGATAGACGCCCTAGTATTGGGCTGGGATTTCCTCACAAAAATAGGAGCGGAGGTAAAGTGCGCAGGACTCGAGGTGGCGATACCAGCAAGGAAGCGCAGACTAGGAATGCTGGAAGAGAGACTGTCGGTGGCAGTGGTAGAAACACCAGAACAGTTTTCGGAAGAGGACATCGCCAAATTCCTGAAGGAGTTTGGTGGGACGAACACACAAACTCTTCTGAGCTAGCCGCACGTTCTCGTAGCGAGCGAAGACACAAAAGCAGTTCGTTACAGTTGATATCCTTTTCTACAGTCGGCTTTTTTGTTGTAGTAGTAGCTTGTGCAATAATGTCTGCCAGCAAAGCGGGTGAAATTGTGGGAGCACTTGATTGAGTTCCAGGTTGCTGTAAGCCCTGAAGAATTCCTTGGAGAAACTGCTCCCGTACCAAGTTGCTGTTGGCCATCTCATCAGATTGGGTCAGCTTCATGGATGCCTCATCTTGTGGTCTCGCGATGGGAACTTGTGAAAGGGCTCCCTGATATGCCAAAAGATATAGCCAGGGTAAAGCTGTGCGTATTTGATCCTGCTCCGGCGGAACTGCACTTGCCCGAAAACTGATCACAGCCACAAAACACAGTAGAAATCCGAATAGTTTCATATCGACACGCGTTTGACTTTGGACTAAGGCTCTCTCAGCATTGGGCTTGCATATTTACCAAATGTTTGCACCAGACGATAAAGTAGATGCTAATTTGAGTTCATTAATAAGTTTGCGATCGGAGAAATCGATCGAGTCTCTCTCCAGTTTCTTTCTTATCTTGATTTGTTTACCTTTTTCATTCGTTTACAATCGGTTTATTAAAGCTGAATCATTAGGGAAGATAACTCACCGGCGACTGCTTTTGAACTGGTTCGTTGTTTTGTTTTTACAATGAAAAACAAAATCGATTTAGCACTTTAATATTAATTTATACAAATAAGTCCAATGCCTTTTTAGGAACATTTCCTGACAATTTTAAGAAAGAAAGAAAGAAAAGGAGTCTCCTTGGAAAGGAAACAATCTTTGTCTCGCTTTTTTTAGTGCTAAAAACTTGATATTCTGTAAAATGTTTTAAAAAATACAACTGTTAGACGATTTTTGCAAAACAGTATTTTATTTGTCTTTCCAAGCCTTAAAGATAGCGCGCTGATAAATAATCGGGGTATTGCCAGTTGTTTTCGAATACGGGAATCCTGTACGTCTCCACATTGGTCGTCTGTGACCGACTGGACTTCAGATTCTGGACCATAATCCTGCGAGGCACACCTTGTCGCACAACCTTTACACGTGCTCGTGGTAAAATCACTGGAGTGGCAAAGGACTGTTCGTCGTATTGTGTGTTGTATTGTGGCATTGAATTGTATTGTGGCTCCTGGTACCGATCGTTGAAGCCTCTGCCATTCAGAGTCACATATTGAACGTTGGGCTGACGGCCAAACAAGTTTCGTATGAAAGTTCGCACCGGACCGGTATTCTGGTTACCAGAGAGTGCAATATTTCCGTTTCCCAAGGGACTAACTACTTGAACATCCTGGCTGGTTGAGTTCGCTGTGATCGTGAGATTTCTAACGAGTTCCCATAGACCGCGCCGAAAGAAAGGTCTTCCGCCTAACACTTGAACCTGTGACGATGATGGGTATATGACCTGAACACCAGATGATCCATATACTTGGTAGCCTTGTCCTGCAATCGAACTGGCCTGAAACAACAGAGCCAGACCAACCATATAGACGATCATGGCGAAATATTAAAAGAGGCCTTATTAGTTCCTGAGTTTTTTAAGACTACCTAGGCACTGGCGGTCGCTCGAACTTTTATAACCCACACCATTGACTTATCTAAATTGTAATTAATAGATCAATTTTTGCTGGTCGAATGCTTATTAATTAGGATCGATATCGACGCCAAAAATAGGTTCCCCAGTGTCAATAAGCTTCTAAAAGTGATATATACTAACTATGGTATACCAACTTTAAGCATAATATGTTTTCTATTTGGAAAGCATTCAATTCTAGCTTAAGTTTATTTAACTTAATTGACTATTTGACTTTTTACTTTATATAGTTTTCAGAGTACTCCAGCAAAGATCTAAATGAACATTACTTTAATATTGACAAAGCCTGTATATTTTAATACTCAAATTCCTTATTTTGCAAATCTATTTTTTCTTATCTAAACGTGGTCTCAAGATCTATCTATTTAATATTCGGTGGAACTCATTGGAGCCTCTGAAGTAGATTCTTTCCGCCTTCTGCCAGACAGTGATAGAGAGATTTAATCATTTTAGAACAACCTGGGTTCTCTGGTAATAAAAATGCTAAATATCTTCCAAGCGTGAACCGTTATGCCAGCCATTTATCCGAGCCGCCGATCTCAGCAAATAAAAGCTAGTAACTTGTTGGGCGTGCTCTGAGCTGATTTTAATAGCTGAATAAATTTAGATGCAAACTTAGCAGAAGCCGTGACTAGACATTTTTTTTTTTGCAGAAAACCAGACCTTTTTCCCCAAAGATCTTTTGAAAATCTTAGCAAACTGGGTTAATGTTTATTGGCAATAACTTACAATAAGCCAGCGCATTTCTTTTAGCGAATTGGACAAGTATAAAAGCGCAGCTGATGGCATCTGTCAATCAGTTCAGAGTGAACACCATTCCCACCATGAGCACCAAACTGGTACTCTGCCTCTGCCTGGCGCTCTTCGGAGCCCTGGCTGCGGCCCTTCCCCAGGTGAACGTTGTCGATCACGAATCGGAGCTGGAGAACAGCCAGGAGGTGAACAGCGTCGAGGAGAACGACGGCGAGACCGATCCCTCGACCTGGCGCAAGCTCTTCGGCAGCGAAGGAAGCAGTGGAAACCTGGTGGTGACCTTCCCCCAGTCCAGCCAGACCACCAAGAAGCCCAGGACCAACAAGAAGCCTTACTACCCCAGCCCGACCAAGTATCCGTCTTACTATCCTCCGTACCCGCATTACTACCCACCCTACCCTTACCCCGGATACTATCCTCCTCCACCGTACCCACCTCACGGCGGACATCACGGCGGCGGTTCCGATGGAAACGGCAATGGAAACGGAGGCGGTTCCAATGGAAACGGCAACGGAAACGGAGGCAACGGCAATGGAAACGGCAATGGAGGCGGTAATGGAAACGGCAATGGAGGCGGCAATGGAGGCGGCAATGGAAACGGCAATGGAGGCGGCAATGGAAACGGCAATGGAGGCGGCAATGGAAACGGCAATGGAAGCGGCAATGGAAACGGCAATGGAAACGGCAATGGAAGCGGCAATGGAAACGGCAATGGAAGCGGCAATGGAAACGGCAATGGCAATGGAAGCGGCAATGGAAACGGCAATGGAAGCGGCAATGGAAACGGTAGTGGTAACAACGGTGGCAACGGACACCACCACCATCACGGTCATTACCCACACTACCCAGCTCCTTACTATCCACCATACCCCTATTACCCACCACCACCACCTCCTCCACCACCACCACCACCACCACCCCCACCACACCACCACCACGACTCGGGAGAATCCACCGAGACCACGACAAAGCTCTGCAAGAAGGTCTTGGGTCTTGGACTCTTGTGCACATAAGCGAGATCCTCCCATCCTGACATTCAACTCTAGCTCAATATTTATTTATTTATAATTTATTAATCGAATAAACAATTGACGCATAAAATATTCGTTTCTGTATGGGAAGATACATTTTTATAAAATGTTTAGCTTTAGTTTTGTAAAACATCTTCCCGACTTCGTTTTAAAATACTTTATACAAGAAGTAAAACACAGATACGCACTTCAAATATGGAAACACCGTCAGCACGTGTCAATTTTTATATGTATTTGAACCACCCTAAAAAATGTATGGCAATTGATAGAATATCTGAATAAATATGGATAACCCGGTGAGACCACATTTTGCGTTTTGTGACACCACATAAAGCGATTTGTGACACCGCAGGTTCCCCGGAGATTGGCTCCTAATTGACAGCGACAGCCTCATTAACATGATTGTCAGCACCAGAAACGATGTAAGCAAATGTCAACTTTTGTTTGGCCAGCGATTCTCGTTTCGAATTCACTCGAGATGCGCTTTACATATTCAAATTTTGTCCAGTAGCCCGGCAAAGTGAAATATGCCCAACGAAAGCGGACCGGTTGATGACTTCACCGTCGGTAAAAGGTGGCCGAGCTCATTATAAAGATAGAGTTCAAACAATAGTGGATGTCTGTCATCTAATAGTCGGCTTATTTATCGGGATCTTGTTCGCAGACTTTCTGGCGACACTAATTAAATGTCCGCCAGCCATTACTAAATCAAAACAGATCCAAGGCAGGACAAACAACGCTCCAAAGACGTAGAAATTCAAAGGCCAGACAGACTAGTTAACCGTTTCCTCCGCCCCGGCCAAAATGAACTCGGCTCAGTGTGCGTGTTCCGAAAATCGTAAATTTCGGATGTTGTTAAAAAAGTTTTGGCAGCGGCATAAATCTGCGGCCAACAGGACAACAGCGGCCACGGCGAACCAAGTTCACTAACGAGCCAAAATCGTTGACTGGAAATCCTTGAGTACAGAAATAATGCCTATAAATATGCCGAAGCAGTTGTTGTCTGTTCCCCTTTGTGAGATTCAATTGAGTCAAAGGCAGAACTTTTGCCAACCAACCGAAGGTCAACAGCGCAATTTATTCCCCAGAATATGTGCTGGAAAGAGTTGTGATCCAGGAGGTTAAGAGTGGTCCAATTCCGAGCCCGATATGGCCTACAATTATGAGTGTTTGCGATGGCCCAAGGTGATCCATCCAAGCCAATCGAAGAAGAGTTATGACGAGTACCAGCCCAGCCTGATTGTTTAAACAATGAGCGTAATTACGCATTGCTATCGGGCGGGAGGGCAATTACACGCAGATTACCACGTAATTTATGAAATATGCAGGGACAAATAAAATACTATAAAACACGTACCCCGGACCCCATAAATAAGCCAGCCGGGCTTAGCCAGCTGCCCATAAACTATACGTCTGCCCAGGCTTTCCTCCGTACAAATGTAAATATCCTTGCCCCCTGTTGCCGCAGACTCTTGGCCAACTGGCAGTTTCGTCTTGACTGCGAGCCACTCGTTTGAGCCTGGCAACCAACCGGCGGAAGTACTTGGAGCGAAGGAAATACAAATGAAGTTGGCCATATCAGCGGAACTTACTTAGCCAGCATTTTTATGGTATCTCGCATTGTTAGGACAACTTTTCGGGCGAAAAGCAAGGCTCAAACAGTGCGCGTTTTATGCTCTTAGAGACAGTTATTAAAAATTTGATCTTCCTGGAAGCCTCCCAAAACGTACTTAAATTGGATGGGAGTTCTCAACGGGAAAAAATATAAAACAAATTAAGAGTGCCTGTAACGAATTCCGCTCGATTCGTTTGTGTAAACGTTTCTGGTGCACCAATTTGTTCAGAACATTTTTATACAGAGCTATGTATGTGTGTGAATTTCAAATATAATTTGCACTCAACAAATAAATCGCCCGACTCTCCTTCAACCAACCCTCATCTCTTCTTGGCCATTGTTCACGACAATAGACGTCTGCGTATGGCTTTTCACTTTAATTGTGTGAAATTATTTTGAAAAAGTGTTTCGCTTTTCATTTTGTTCTCCCCTGGTTTTTTTTTCGTGCTTTTCTGCTTTCCAATTTTTTGCTTCCAGTTTTTGTTAACGATTCGTTTAGCACAAGGCCATATTTATTTGAATGGCAGCCTTTTAATGTCGATTTTTATTGTGCGCTTTATAGACACAAATTGCCTAGACAAATGAGACGGGAGAAAACAATTTATGGATACACATTCGTTTATATATTTTGTAGATATCTGCCAGGCATATTAAATACATCAAGATTGGCGGAAAATCTCTTCGAGCGTTTTGCCAATATATACATTCAAATGTTTTTTCTAGCTTTTGATACTCATTGAAGTTTTAATTAAGAATCGACGCCGAAATGTGAATAGGTGAGCATTAATTAATGTTGCCTTCCTGACCCAATCATCCTGCTCTAGACGACGGCATTTTCTTATTCTGCCCAGGGCATTATTTTATGTGCCGGCCATCCTTGTGGGCCATTAGGTCTATTTTTGGGGCCGCATTTACGTCAGAAGTGATTGTAATGAGTTTTTGATATTCCCGCACTGGCGTGAGTTCGCTCCTTTCACCCCAGGCTCTTCCTGTTCTTGTCAATTTGAAAATGGCCTCAGCTCTCTCCTCCGGCCGAATGTTCGACTGTCTGTCGAAGTGTCAGGCAGGACCACAGTTGGCTGTCAAACATAAAAAATAGCAAAAAAGAATATACAGTCCTGCCAGTTGCTGTCGAAGTAATCAAAATGTGGCCAGAGAAATCAAAGCATCTAGGATAAATACTGAATTAAATATCAGCTGGATATCTGGCCAAATGGGGGCCAAATTTAAAGGGCAATTTCGGGGCCTGGCCATTTAATTCCTATTGGCATGGGAGCTCCCATCCTGTTTTTTATTTAGCGAGGACAAGCGAGTATTTTAGACAACACAGCGCTTTGGGTTTTGTTTTCGCTAAGGGCTCGTGGCATCGCCAACAAAAACAAAAGTGCGGCAAAGGCGCCAAAGCGAAAGGCACACACACTAATATACATCCAAAGGAAGCACACACACACACACACACACGCACGCACACACAAAGAAACACTCAAGGTCCTTGGTACCTCGTGGTTTTCTCGTTTCTCACTTTCACTAGGGGCTTTCGAGCTGCTGCTACTGCTACTGCTACTGCTTCTTTTTTTAATTTCTTTAAGAGCCAAGCAGAAATGGCGAAATAAGCATAATTTCAGGCGCCATAAAAACAAAGGCAGGAAAAAAATAAATTCACACAATTTGAAAAACGCAAACACTCAACACGCCAGCCAAGCCAGACTACAGCTGCTTAGCTCCAAGGCCCCAACTCCGCCGGCTGCTCCTTTTCTGCACATGAAAAATTGCTCTTTTGTTTGCATATTCACATATTATATGGCAAGTCTACTTAAGTGCTTAATAAGTTGTAAATTGTGCTGGAATTTCTAAAGATCTTAGTCTCTCAAATGGAAATGTGACTATGACTTTGCATAAATAAGTTCCAGACTTTTCTTTATCATTCAACACTTACGAACCTTTTATTGTTTATCGATGTTATAATAGTTTGGGTTTAAACAACTTTATTGATATTAAAATAGTACAAATTAAATTATTTTAAATATGAGCAATAAATATTAAAAAAAGTAATCAAAAAAATGGTGTATTTTTTCCTAAGTGTATAGGTTGCTCCTTCAGCTGTTTAATGGCCTTTCTCCACTAAGTATAGGTGAGAGTTTGGAGGTGTGTGTGTGTTTGTGGTTGATGGCCAACATTCTTGGGTTCTTTCCAAGTGTTGGATGAGAATGAATTAAAAAAATGTTTACGACTCGACCGCTTGATTTTCAGCACATTGGTAAAATAGCTGGTCAAAAGAAAAACAGAAAAAAACAGCAAAACAGCGCGTAGAAGACCATAACCGAAAGAATGCGCAAAAGCACACCTCCCCATTATCGCCCAACCTGCTGCGGCCATTACCGAACCGACCGAAACCAAACCAAACGAAACCAAACCAAACCAAGCCAAACCGAGGAGAGTGTGTAAGTGTTTGTGGTGACGGTTTTTGGGTTACGCTTAAATTTCCACACCAAGTGGATACGGGGAGCTCGGAGCCGCAGATTTATTGAGTTGGCCAGAAAAGACTCTCAATTCCCGTGTAATTTTAGTGTTTCAACAAGAAAAACTTAGCTGCAATAAAACTATTCCCATAAATAATGCATATAATGTGTTAATATCAATAAAATCCATTCAATGTCATTAGCATCGCTTGCATGATTTATTTGTTTAATTTTTAGAAAATAATTGTCAAACAAAGCAATGCTATGTTATTTTTGGTTCTATTTTTTTTGGTCAGAATATTTCACAAAACCCCAAGCTAAGTTAGATAATTGGATCATTTTTTTAAAAAACAATTCACATTCAGATAGCAGAAGAATAATATTTAATCCGCTAAATTCGTTTAAATGTAATTAGTGGCAGTGGCTCTAATGCAATTGAATTGGAAAACAAGTGATAAACTTACCAATTACCATTTCGTTTCCCAAGAATGTTGTTTTCCATTAAAACGTAACCACAAGTACCTCACAAAAGAATCGGCTTTCCTTCAGTTTCTTTCAAAATACTCAACAATTTTCTTTGTTTAACGTTCATCATTCAATTTGCGGAGACTCATCAGGCGGAGAAACTGCGAGTCAGCTTGTACTAATTTTTATATCTTTTCTCTGCTCCTTCGCTTTATTTTTTGGCGGCCCTAAAGTTTTAATTATTTCATGGCACACTTGAGCTCTCCCTCTGAATGGCCAGCATGTGCGGTAAATGAGGCTAGAATTTCGGGCTAGGAAAACAATTCAATAATTGGCAATCAGAGTGAGAGATAGAAGCAGTGAAGGGCCAAGGGATAAGCCTGAAAATTAATATTGAGTAACTTCGATGGCTGCCACACGAACTCGATAAACAGGCTAATTAG